CGTTTTAACGACCAATGAATGCGGCTGAAAACTTAAGAAAGCAATACATCCTCGGCTGGAGTATCGTGTACTGGCTGGCATGTTAATTAGTGTTTTTTATTGTACAGAATAGTTAGTCATACTATTATAAAGATTGAACGTTAAATATTGGGTGCTCCAAATTCTCAGTCTCCCAGTTTATTTGGTGCACTGGTTTGGCTTTTCGTTGAGCACCCAAAAGGCTTGAGTGTGAGTGTGCAATCATGCCTAACTTCTTATTATTGAGTCTATCAGTCTCCCAGTCTGAATTTCCCTTAAATGCACCAGACTGACCTTGATACACCGAGTCGAAACAGCCTGTTTCTTTTTAAGTTATCCAAATTCTGTTGGTGAGTGCGTAAGGCATAATGATAATATTAACACAACAACAATAGCAACCAACACCGACAAAACATGAACAAGAACAACAAGGCCAGTATGAGCCATGAGAGCTTTCTAAATTGATAAAGAAAGAAAGTAGCTCCAGTGGCGAAGTGAGCAATGAGTTCAGACTCAAGTAATGTCAAGCAAGTGTCGGTGACATGGGGTTTAAGTGGGTGGTCACTTGGGTGTGTCCTCGAGCAAGACATGACAACCCTGGCAAGGTTGTAAATTGTTCTGTATTGGTGTAATATTGTGTACGTATGTATGTATGTATGTATTTATAATTAGATCTATGTATTTATGTATGTACATTTATGTATGTTTGCAAATGTAAACCATATCGCTCTTCTGCATTAATAAAAGCTTAATTTTTATTTTAATTCTCTATTTTCAATTCATTTTTTAAAAAACGTGAATTAGACACAGTCTACATATAAATAGTATGTACAGCCATTTGCGCATTTTGGGGGATTTGTTTTCCTTTCTGTCCATGGGATTCTGAATATTCTCCTTAAACACTACATTCCAGGGGCCTCCAGTCTCCTCTACGTCCAGCTCTCGCATTCATACAAACGGACTGACCATACGTAAGCTTTCAGAGTTCTTATTAGAATCTTGACAGGTAGGATAAAAACATGAAGGCGGGAGGGGGGAGGTGGGTCGACCCTGACAGTTAGAGTACAGTAGCCCCTTACATTTGGGCAGGGGGAGGATGAGGAGGAAGAGGAGGAGAAGGAGGAGGAGGAAAAGTAGGAGGAGGAGGAGGAGGAAGAGGATGAGGAGGAGCAGCAGAAGGAGGA